CGGAGATCTCCGCAAGACCCGGTCGGTCTCCTCCATCAGGAATCTTGTCCGAGCACCAACAGAAGCGGCCCGCCATGCGTCTCGCGTCTTCCTCCTGCCATCGCCCTCCTTCCGTCCGATCATGGTTGTTTTCTGGAAGATCCGAGACTTTCTCCAGGAAATCGGCCCCACGTGGAATCATTTTGGGGAGAAGAAACGTCTTGTCTTCCTCTTGTGGAGGGCGATAAGGAAAAAAACAACCGAGCAAGCAAGCATGCTGTCCCAAGTCATCCACAAGAACTATCTTGAATCCGGTGTTACCGGCCTCAACGGTGGTTTTTCCTGTCGCAGAATCTCTAGAATGATGCAAGTGTTGGTAAAATATGTGCTTTTGTTTGTTTGTTTTTTTTTTTTAAAGCCTAACTCGATCATCTTGGCCATGAAAAGGCCGTTATTAGTCGCCACTAAGACACACTCCACATTCACAGGAGTCTTACCGGTCGTTGACGCCGCCGAGCACGAGGAGAAGGTCACGTTTTCACCATCGCGGCTTGATCTTTTTGTTTGGGCGTGACTCTGTTTCTTTGTCGGTCTACAGGCGGCGATGTGCGTGCCGGACGGGTATGGCACGGTCATAGAATTGTCCTACGCTGTGACACGTAGTTTGCCTAAGCCGTGGAATTGCCCCTTCCTTTTAAAAACAAACAAAGAAGACATTGCCTTTCCGCCGGCGCGATATCATCAAACCCGAAGTTTGCCCGCTGAAGAGAAGAAGCACACGTCCCGTGCGCTGTCCAGATGAGCTGCACACAACTGTTTTGATATTTATTTTTGGGGGGAGGGATTAAAATAGGTCATTGTTCTCCCCTCCCGTATATACGTGGATTGTTTTTGTGGGTTTTTTTTCTTTTTGTAAGAAATGAAAGCCTATCATGGTGGATATATGTATGATGCTGTCGAATTAAAGTGAAAGTCCTCCTTTCCAAAGTTAGACTGCTGTTGGGATTTTGTGTGAGGACTCGTTTTAGTCCTAGTTTGTCAGTAAAGGGAAGTCCCCGTGCTCACCGCCATGAATTTTACGGAACAAATATTGTACATGCAAAAAAAAAAAAACTACATTGAGCGGCACGGAACAGGCCAAAATCCAGATGGCAGTGCGAGACGCCGGTTGCGTGCCAGCTAGGGTTTTACGGTTGAAACTTGAGCGCTAAAGTAAGTCTTAAGTGGAGTGGGTGGCTTGGGCAAGCATTTTGTTGGTTTTGCCGCACCGACGACCTTTGAATCTATTTAAAAAAAAAAAAAAAGTAGTTCAACCTTCTTATTTTTAGTATGACTTTATTTTTCAAATAGTAGTAATAAGTCTCTGCTGTTGTCTTGACATAAACGCAAAAGTGGGGGGGGGGGGGTTGGGGTACTTTCCTAACCTCCCATGTTTTCGTTGCACAGTCACGACCTCAAAATTATTTTGCTGCACTTGTGACATCTTTGCGTTACCGACTAAGTGAATCAAACCACGTCTTTGTTGTATCTCTCTCTCTTTTTGTGCCCCACTGACATATCGCTCACCGAGTCAGCACCGGACGTTGTACTTTACAACAACCCCGGGGGAGATCTGCTTGGGCAGGTGTGAGCCTTCCAAGTAAGCTTCCCCATCTGCTCATCGACTCATTCTGTGCCACTTCTAAGTGATGTCACCCACTGCCCCCGTTTTTCCTTCGGTCATTCGAATGAAGGCGGGACAGTTGGCCCACGGCCCAAAATGCAGATGTTTGCTGGGTGTTGTTTCAAAAGTAGATCTCGAATTTTTGGGAGCCACTGTGTTGAATCAAATTGAGTGTGCTGAACGTCTATTTTATTTTGACACGCACACAAAAAAAAAAATAGACAAAAGGCCAAGCTATATAGGAATGGAAGAGGACCTTCGATTCCTGGCCTCTGGTAGAGGACCCAAGCTGAATGAGGGACGGACACCACCCGAGGGGTGAGACGAGGATTTATATATATATATATATATAAATAATTTTGTTTGTTTGTTTTTCTAGGCCAATGCCTTGAGACTGTTGTCGTTTCCGCAGCACACAAGCAGGTGCTAGACTATTCTTGGTTTCATTGGATGAGCAGGAATTGCGTCTTCTGCTAATCCACTTAAAGAACCATTGACAGAGGGCGCTGGTCAAATACTTTAAAATAGACCCACACAGAGTAGCCAAACACGCGCACATTGGATGACTGCAAGCGAATCGATCGATGGACCAGGTTGGGTTCATTCGCCGCAGCGCTTGTCGTGGGTTCTCTTGAGGAAGTCTGCAGGACATTCTCGTGGAACAATTTTCCTCTTTTCCATTTATTTGCAGGTGAATTAGTGGCAACGCCGATTTGGAAACGGGAGACACTTTTGCAAATGGATGCTATTTTGTCCCTGGGGGCCCCCCTCAAGCAATTCACCAGCACGTGCGCGCCTGGAAAGGGCGGCCCCGCCCCGAAAGGGGCCAAAGGCCGCAGAAGCAGCTTCACGCGCCGGAGGAGCATCAGCAGGCGGCGAAGTCTGCCCTGCGGCGGCCAGAAAGGTCCAGACTCGCACTGGCTCAGAGCGTACCAGGCTGAAGTGAAGAGAGAGAGGTAAAGCCGCCCGATTGTTGACACTTGGCATTCGCCATGAGCTCAAAATGAGCCAACGTGGGGGTTTAAATACACGACCAAGGGATGAGATTTTATCCATCCCTCACTGAGAACGTTTTTTTTTCTGTAATATTCATACCATCTGGAATAAGATGGTATGAACAACATAAGATAAAAATTACAATTCAAGGACGGTACAAAACGGTTGAACAGCAAACCAATGTTAAGAGCAACTTTTTTATTTATTTATTTATTTTACAAAAATCAACTCAAGTCAAAATTGTAATATTGAGGTACAATGTTTGTCATCTGCAAACGGCACTCATGCTGCGATATACGCCAGTATAAGTCTACGTTCACACTGCGGCTCAATTCCGATTTGTTTGCCCATATGTGCCCGAGAGGGTCTCCAAGTGCCACGAGTGGTACGCGTACCACACTTTGAGAATCACGGTGACAAAATTATATTGTTTAGATTTTAACCACCTCGTGTCTGTGTCCGTTTTGGGGTTTTTTTTTTTTGGGCCATATAAAAAATAAAAACATTTCGTGAAATAGTGAGGTGAAAAACAATTTTCAAAAACAGTTTCAATCCCTCGTGGGCAGAATACATTTCATGGTCTCGAGCTGGCGCTGTTGCTGTGATGTGTTACCCAGCATTCAGAGTTGCCATGTCTCACGGCTTTAGGTTATTTAAATGTGTGACTCATCTGAAACATTTGGCCCGACAGTCTTGGCTTAACGAGGACTTTACTCACATGAATAATCCGCTTGGCCACGTGCTGTCCTTTTTAACAGTGCTGTTTGTCCTAAAGGAAACGACAGCAGGCTGTGCTGGCCAAGAAGAACGCTGAGCGGTGCGTCAGGAAAACTCACTTCAGGAGCCATCACTGCCTGCCAAGGGTGCGTGGGTATTATTAAACACAAAAATGCAATTTCAATATTTGTTCTAAGTTCTAGATATTTTAGGCTTAACTTAAAATGCATTTCCAAGCTTACTGGTGAACATTGAAATGCATATTTATAACTTGAGTATTTCAGTACTTTGGCACAACTTGCTGTTTCCTAAACAGGATCTGAAAGAGCAACACTCACATGTGGTTGATCAATGAACGTTTTCCAAAAAGTATACTTACTTTTCTGTGACTCTCGCGGTCTCTGTGTTGCAACCTGTTGATGACATAATACACAGAGGCCTAAGTCGAAAAATACCCCCCAAATCATTCTGACAAGTCCTAAAATAAACACGATACAAGACTGAGGTTGTGAGAAAGAAATCTTAGGGGCAGACCAGACACTTGTGTGTGGCGTGTTCAAGTGCACAAATGGCACTACCGCAGCTCGCGTTTACCTTTTTAAAAATGCTCCTCTTGGCGCTCCAGATTTCAATTCTTCGACAATGCCATCGGTGAAATGCTGCTCAAACCAACTTGGAAAGAGAATAAACAAAATACAGCCATATCTCAACGGCTCTGCTCGCTAGCTGAAGACCGCTAACCGTTAAAAACTTCCTGTGTCTCCTGAGCTCATGGGCCACCGTAGGTTAAAGGTCAACTACTTCTTTGGTTTTATTTACTGTATTTTATTTTTTTGTCTTTTACATATTTTTGGTGAGCGTGAAACTCATGATATGCATAGGGTGCAGTGTACAACACTAACACTGAAAAGTAATAATAATAATATTAAAAACCCGCACACAGCCACCCCCCCTCCTCACCGACACCCCTAGCGCTCAGTTTGGGACCATGACGCCGACCGACCGTAAAATACAAAAAAGAAAACTGTAAATACAGCATAAAAAAAAGAAGTACATTTACGGTGTGGTTAGTGGGTGATTTGTTGTAACAATTCTCAATTCGAATCTTATGCCATTGTTCATTGCTATACCTTTTTTAAATTGTACGTTTGTATGGAACACGCATTTGTGGGAAGAGCAGGAGGACTGATGTGGGTCGCACCAAATTCAAAAAAAGAAAAAAAAGCCCAATCTTCTCTGACAATGCCCAACAGCTAATTTTGCCTTTGCGATTGACTGGTTCGGTAGGTTGGCTGTTTAAAAAAATAATAATAATAATAATCTAATAAATATGTAATTCAGCTATTAGGTGCCTCAGCAGGTAAACGAAGCAACCAATAACAGGCTTTCCAACAGTCAAAGATGAATTACCAAGAATCTACCACAATTTCCCCTCACTTTTTGTGTGACTTATGTTTCATCTCAATCTTTCCTTCTATATGCAGCAAACAGCGACAACCAGAAAACCTGCAGCCAAAAAGGAGGATTCCCTCTTTGGCGCTTTTCAGGGTCTCAGTCTGGATGGTGTGATGGGAGGTGTGAATGGATCTGCGGCTGCTGCTGCTACGGCAGCGGGGGGCGACCAGTGCAGTGTCATGTGAACCACTGAAGGACCCCTTTCCTGACAGCAAGGAGTCAAAGAAGAGGACTCAACGCTCCACTTATCTGGCTTACTGTCATTTATTGAAACACAAATGCCAAAATAACTGCAGCAAAGTGACATCAAATGCAGCCTTGTCAAGTAGCTGCCAAAGTGGATGTATACAGAGGCCACAAAATGGAGATTGGCTTCTTACGACCAACTTTTATTTTGTGTTTCTGTATATATATACATTTTTTCTTTTTTAAAAAAACATGTCAACAACGATTGTAGTTCTAAGATATGGATGATGCACTATTTACTTACATGAAGCAGGTATGATCCAAGACAGTGTGAATGAGAAAACAAAAAAAAGGAGACGGTAGGGGTGTATAAAGGAGGGTTACACAGTATGGACAACAGCTTTTAAGTTAATCAAGTCCCATTTGTACATCATTCTCTCTGCTCCATCTTTACTTTGGGGGGTTTGAGGAAGGACCTGTTCTTCTTCTCCTTGCTTTTGCCCTTTGCCTGGAACGTCCTCCAACTGTCCACACGGCCATCTCTTGTTTCCTGTGCAGTGTTTAGACGCCAATGTTAGAGTGTTTATTTAATAAAAAAGTCGGTAACCAATAAACAGTGACATTACCTCAAAGTTTTTCTGCCATTCCCTGTCTCGCTTTGCTTTCTCTGCTGCTTCAATTTCTTCCTCTCGTGCCCGTTTCCTGCAGAAGACAACAGGTTGTGAATATTCAGTTGTTGTCCCCCAAGCACGCAACACCAGCTCAAGCACTTACCTTTCATGCATGTCCTTCGCTTCTCTTTCCTTCCTCTTGATGGCGAGCTCCGCAAACAGTTTCATGGTCTGCTTATACACCGCTTGCTTGAACTGGTGGAGGAAAGAAGAAATTACTTCTGGACCGCCACATAGAAACCGAGGCTTGATTTCAACACAGGACGCTTGACAGTTGGCGCTTACAACTTCCGGGTCATCCTCTTCTACTATCTGAGATTTCCCTTCCTTCTTCAACTGCTTCTTTTTCTCTTTTACCTTCAGTGGGCAAACAATAACAACACACAAGACAAGGTTAAGTACATCCGGCTGTTATTGTTGTCGATGTATTTACTTTTTGTAAATACATTTTAGTCATCGGAAATATATCCTTTCCTATGCCATCCATCCAACTGAATGAGTCATGGCTCCTTGCAAACGTATGTGCTACATACCAAAATAGGAGCCGATGAACCTTCCTGACATAGTTTAGGTCAAGCGCTCACCATGTGCTCTATATATTCCCTTCCTGCCTGGATCACATCTAAAGCCCTCTTTTTCTGGTCTGCATCCTGAAGGAGTTTGTACGCCTTGTCCACAGCTAGAAAAGAAAGACACACAAGTATTTAAATCTATATAGTTCTTAATAATTGACACTGTCAGAGATGGGCTGTATCAAGTACATTAGGAGTAATGACATGAAATGCTTTTGGGGAGGGAAAACAAAAAAAAAGCTCAAGTTCATGCAAACCTTCAAACGCTTGCTGTGCTCTGTCTGCATCATCCTGATTTTTGTCTGGATGGACCAGAATGGATAGCTGAAGTGATAAATGGCATCTCAGTTAGGGAGACACAATTCTAGTACCATTAAATATGAACAAATAACTTTTTACCGCTCTGAATCTTTTCTTCAAGTCAATATCTGTTGCATCTGGATCGATTTGCAGCACCTAAACGGGCAAATTAACATTTATGAATTGAAAATACGCAAACCGTTAAGGATGTAACGAGGAGAAAATGAAAGTTCGTGGAACATTTACCTCGAAGGGGTTTAGATTAAAGTAGGACGAGCCAGGCCTGAGCAGTCGATCTATCTGCTGCTTGGACGTTAACACGGAGTCTCTTTTCTCTATCTGCTTCACCTGCAACCCACATTTAAACATGTAGTTACGTTACATGTGAGCGCAAGCCTGACTAGACAGACACAATACAAACTACCAATCGCGTTTCGCCCCAAAATATCCACGATTGCTATCAACGCTGAACGGGGAGTCGTCGATCAAACAAGGTTCCTCTGCGTCATCGTGTTACAGATTGTACCCAAGCATGGGCCAGCGCAAAATTGTGCGCAATTTATTATTATATACGATGAGTGATGATGAATGTTTCAACGAAAGGCTACCCCACCGTTAGCCATGTTTAGCTTGTCGCTAGCTGAGATTCAGGCATGCGGGAGGCCACGCGGGGCTACCGCAACCGGAGCGACTGCATTTGCTTGGTGTTATCAAGAGAATAGACCGGTTCAACTCCAGCCATTCGACTTGGCGATACCTCGGTGTAAAAGTTCTGAAATAAATCATCGGGCGTCGCTTGAGAAGACTCTCCGCCGCAAGCCGCCATCTTGGCTCCGATCGACGTTGGGCGCAAGCCCGTCACGTGATCACGTCGTCCACGCCCCGTAGCTGGCGCTCACATCGACGTGATATCCACGACTGCTCCAAACAAGTAGACGCTACTTCGAGCTAATGGCCACCTAGATCACGTTCTATTGTGTGGGACTGGTTGTGTTCGCGGTGAGGTGGCGCAAATCAAATGCGGCATGTTCAGCAACGCAACGACGTTGTCGGAGTGCGCTTCGTAGCTAATACGACAACTGGTCCATTACGTGTGAGGAGAAGCGGATTGGAAAATGGATGGATGGATGTCTTCATTTACATGTTTAGTCACGGGACTAACAAAACACGGATCAGACAAAAACGCAGCTAAGCAGTCAAAAGTATGACTTCGTTTGCATTTTTTAAAAGTTACAAAAATATTCTGTTTGTACGAAAGACAAAATGCAGACATTAAAGTAGATTTTCTTTTGGTTATAAAATTTAACTTTGGAAAAATAATAAATTTAATCAAAATCGGGAAGGGAAATTTTAATCGGGCCTGAGTGAATCGTTCACATCCATAAAACCCAGTTTGCAAATAATTTCATGCCAGACTGTAATGTTTTAAAGTGCATCTATAAATACAGTTGAGTTGAGTAATGTAACACGAACTTGCAATCAATGTTCAGAGATTAGTTATTTGAAGGTCTACTCTAAATGATGATGTGAGCCCCACCGAACCTAGACGATCTAGTTTAATTATAAAACAGCTAATCTGGAATAGTAGTTGATTTTAAAAGTATGTTAAAACCCAAAATAATGTAAGATTCAGCCTAAAACAATAATGAGGTCAAACCAGACTGTTTATTTTGAATAGTGACAGCTAACAACAATGAAAAATGAGATATCGCTGACTTTTTTTTCTTTTTTGTGAGGAGCCACAAATCAGGGCCAGACAGACCCCAGTAACCCATCCAGTAGCTAGCCAGGAGAGTGAAAAGTGAGTCGACACATGGACCCAGTCGACCATCACCGGGTCGGTGGTCGGTGCGCGCACGCCCGCCCAAAAACACACACACACACACACACACACACACACACACACACACACACACACACACACACACACACACACACACACACACACACACACACACACACACACACACACGGGGAAAATTGTGTGGACTACTTAAAAAATAAAAATGAAAATGTATTTAATGGGATACCTACTTCTACAGGGTCCCTTCGTGTGTGAAAACTCCGTGTGAATCGAGAAGCTTCTGCTCCTGGTGACAAAAGACGACAATTCAGATGTGGCAAACATTTCTTAATGAAATAATCGGCTGGCAACTGAATCCATATTAACCGAAGACGTCAAGACGCGCTAACTCGCGCTCCATCCGCTCCAAGCTTACCTGCGCGGCCCACTTGCGCCCCCTTGTGGCCTTATAGAGTAAAACCGCAGTTGTGCTCCAAATCCATTGTTTCGACAGGAGTCCATTTTAGGCCCAATGGCATCGAGAATCCCAAGTGAGAAAACTGAGCAAACGCAAAAACAGCTCATTTAGTTGACATTTGGCTCATCAGATCATGACATACCCGGAAGTGAAGACGCAGAGTAAATGCAGCGGCATCTCGTCAAGGAAGAACGGAGGCAGTGGCAAAACAGCTTCCCCTAGCGGCAAGAGACACGAAACGCACCTCACCCCATTTAAGTGTGTCGTAGCATACTCCAAAGAAGCCTCCGATTCGCAGGAGCTTGCCATCAACTGGACACGCACTTTCAATTAAATTAATCACGACAATTATGTCTGAATACTTTTGAAACTTTTGAAAGCTTTTCATTGGTTGGAAAGAGCAACTAGCACTGATTTTCAACACTTAGGTGGCTCATTCAATCACCATAGTAGGAAGCTTCCCACCCCGGGAAAATGAAAGACAGCAGTGAGGAAAGGGGAGGGGGGAAAAAAAGCATCATATGACGAGTGACCACAATAAGGTACAGGAGGGGAGACTAGGCGAGCTCACCCTGGAGTACCGTTCAGGTGAGTTCTTCACTCTAGCGGTGCCGCTCTCTCAACGCTCCTCCACCTGGGCGGGTTGGAATAAGAGGACAGACACGTAAAACAAAAAGACAAATGGTGGACACCACGGTAATCAAAAGGAAAACAATGCCAAGTGGTTCTGGAGGAGCGGTGAATTTCAAGAATTTAACCCTTTTGAGCGGTCAGATCCTTGGAGTCTTCAAAGGGAGCCGATCGAGCGGAATTGAAGATTGAATCAAAAGGAGATCACAAATCAATGGATGTTCTCATGCATAAATTGGTGCAAATCTCGCATTTGTCCCGTACCGTTATGTGGACAGATGTACAGTCTGGAAAAACTCAAACATTTGACCTCGAGGAGACCGATGTTGACATTTCCCTTTTCATCGCTTTGCAGCAGCAACCTTTATTGGTGGAAAAAGTGCACGGCCATTGCAGCATATTAAATTGGAGCCGCGTGATATTTTGCCTCTCATATGCAGGGGCATCTAAAAAAAACAAAACAAACACTAATTATCATCGACATGCGACTTGATTTCAGGGGTCCAATTCAACATGCGATCCGAATAAAAGGGACAATACTTTTCGGGAGGCCACTTCTTCCGATTTTTTCAGACGGTGAATTGCGGCTTTGGCCTTGGCCGTGAGCATGAAATCGCAAACGAAGAAGTCACGATCTCATCGGGCGTGTCGCGACTCCGCCGGCGTTGCACTTTTTCCAAGTCAACAATTGAAACGAGTGAAAATTGAGATGCGGCTGCCCGTCTTGTATGCCGAAAGGATACTCCGATATTGGGGCCGGCTCTTCCCCTTTTATTGCGGCGCGGTCGTGCCACATGGCAATCGGCGCCGTGGTCTTTTTCCGAGTGCCCCGCAAAGGGTATCTTAACAAGGGCCATGCTGCGTTATCGTCATTATTCCATACCTGCAGCTGCCGTGGATTCGGCCTTCAACTGTCCCTATTTGACCGGCGGATACACGAGGCCGTACGGAAGCCGCCGAGGTCAACAACTCATCCACTGTACATCCATGCACACAAAGGATTCGGATGGTTCGGTACCGCCGTGACAAGGAGCATTATGAGCAGAAAGAGTGAGTGCGGTCGGTCGTCAAGGGTTAAATTCCTCTTGAATAATTGCATCCAAACACAAGGCTCCGGTTGCCGCCTACCAATTGCAGCCTTCTGAATCTCCTTGAGGCCAAAGAATTAGATCTTCATCCCAATGTGAGAATTGAGCTCGAACTTTAATCGTGTGGCTGAATGGAAAAAGACTGAATTTGAGAATTTGACAATTGACTGATTGATTCTCAGCTGAGTTTTATTGAAACGGAACAAACGTAGAAGTTATAAATACAAGTAACATCAGAGAACAAACCGCTATTGGCTCTTAAGGTCGGCCAAACCAAATTCTATTGGGCAATTTGAAAGAAAACAGGAAATGAAGGTATCAATTTAAAAAATCAAAGAAAAAAAAAATCACCATTGATGCTCTCTAGAAATGCTATGCAGACAACTTACAAAATGTCGATTTCTTCCTTTGTGGATTCTTTTCTCCACCTTTGTAAAAAACAAAAAAATGATTTCTGGAGCTCTAACCATAAAGCATGTATATACAAGCAAGTCCCTAAGCAACTATGATGCTGAAAATACACCAGGCGAGTATGCGGCAGACACAGCAAACAACCTTGCGTTGCACCCTCACCGTTGGGACGAAGCCCCCCACCCCACACACACCTTTTTTTGGGGAACACATGCACACACACACGCGCGCGCGCGCGCGCCCCTTCGCGGTCCGGAGGAGCACATGATTGTGCGGCTAACAACTCCGCTGTGTCATGTCACATTCACATCCATAAATTCAGTCAATTAAAATTTTTCGAGCTGTGTCGCGCCACTTACGTGCCAAGTGTATTTTTGCCACGAGAAGCACAAATAAAGGGAGTACAAGAGAGGGGAAGGGACACGGACACCAAAGTCCTGCAAGGCAATGTCTCTGTTGCGTATGTCTTCTCAGACTACTTACAATGAATGTCCACTTTGGGTAATGTTCAGTTAGCGGGGTTTTTTTGTTGTTTTTAGTTCCTCAGGAAGAAAAAGTAACAATATACATGACTGAATGCTTTTTTGGGTGTTTTTTTTTTCCTTTTTGTAATATTCACCACAACTGAGGTTCATTCTTCAGCTTTTCCAAGTGCCTGTAAGCATTCAAAGCCAATTCTGTGGGCTTGTTTTCTTGAACGACAGACAGATTTGTAATTAAGGAGGGGTCATAAAAAGTCAATCGACAAATCTAGCCAATCAATTTTGGGGTCGGTGCCACTTGTCACCTAGCCAAGATCTTGTGGTGTCTTTACTTCCACTGCTGCCCATAAGAATCCTGTGAAAACTCCATGGTGTCATGACTGTAACCATAGTTACCGGAATAGTCGGCCCCTTGAGGCAAGGGCTGCTGGGCGATGGGCTGGGACCCCCAGTTCTGCTGGTTGGTGGTCTGGCGGCGCTTGGAGTCGGGTTGGTTAAAGACATCCGCCTTCCGCTTGCCTCCGACGTTCCCCCCGCGGTTGCCGCGGGCCCCGCGCGGGCCGCGGCCCCTCTGCGGCTGGAACGGGGTCCCCCGGCCTCCTCGGCTGCCCCTTGGCGCTCC